AATCTATGAGCATAATATGTTTTTCAATTTGTTTATATCCTGTGTAATTTCCTTCCTCAGTGTTTCATAGTTCTCCCTATAGAGGTCTTTCACCTCCTTGCTTAAATATGTTCCTAGATATTTTATTTTCTTTGTTGCTATTGTGAATGGTATTGAGTTTTTTATTTGGTTCTCAGTTTGACTGTTGTTGGCATATATGAATGCTATTGATTTGCATACATTGATTTCATAACCTGAGCCTTTGCTGAATTTATTTATCAATTTCAGTAGTCTCTTGGCAGAATCTTTGGCGTTTTCTACATATACGATCATATTGTCAACAAAGAGTTATAGTTTGACCTCTTCAGTCCCCATTTGGATTCCCTGGATTTCCTTATCTTGTCTGATTGATCTGGCTAGGACTTCCAGCATTATGTTGAATAGAAGTGATGATAGGGGGCAACCTTTTCTGGTTCCAGTTCTAAGCAGGAATGTTTTCAATTTTTCTGTGTTCAGTATGATGTTGGCTGTGGGTTTGTCACATATGGCTTTTACCATTTTGAGGTAAGTCCGGTCTATATCTATTCTGTTAAGCATTCTTATCATAAAAGGGTGCTGAATTTTGTTGAATCCTTTTTCTGCATCTATTGAGATGATTCTGTGATCTTTGTTTTTGCTTCTGTTTATGTGGTGAATCACATTTATGGATTTATGTATGTTGAACCATCCTTGCATCCCTGGGACGAAGCTCACTTGTCCGTTATGGATTATTTTTCTGATGTGCTGTTGAATTCAGTTTGCTAGAATTTTATTGAGAATTTTTGCATCTACAAGAGATATTGGTCCCTTGCAGACCAATAAAGAAAACTACAGTTTTCTTTATCTGTTGTGCCTTTTCCTGACTTTGGCATCAAGGTGATACTAGTTTTATAGAATGAGTTGGGGAGGATTCCTTCCTTCTCAATGAGAAGGAATCAGCAAAAGAACTCCGGAAGTAAGAAGAATCAGAGTGAATGGTCATTCCCAAAAGGGAACACCAGCTTGCTAGCAATGGATAACAACCAAAATCAGAATATTGAAATGACAGATAAAGAATTCCAAATATGAATTATAAGTAAGCTCAATGAAATACAAGAGAAATGAAAAACCAGTACAAAGAAACCACAAAAAAAATCAG